TTTTAACATTCAGTAAAGTTTTAAGGTCTTGTTTTTACTTAGTTTTCATTTTAAGTTGTAGTGGAACATTTTTACGTTCAGTGTTTATTCTTTCTTTTTAGTTATTGCATTTCTTTTTCTTATGGTTCCTATTTTATATTTTTAGGTTTAGTTTTTGCTAATCTTTATGTGCATTTTTAGCTTATTTATTTCAAGAATATATTTTGTACATATGTTTGGCCTGTGACATCAGCGAGTGTTTCGTTATCCTCCGAAGCTCTGCACCATCGGCAGTATCACTATATTTATTTAAATAAACAAAGAGCCGATCACGGAAGATAATAAGTTAAGTACTGACGTACCTGATATTCTTTGCATAGGAGCTGGACGTGATCGTAAGAACAATTTCATTGAATAGTTTGAACACCCTTTTATTTATTTATTTATTTTTAAATGAAATTGGCTGGTTTGTTTTCTCTTTGTTTTATTTGTAACTTTTAACATTTCAAAGTAAGAAGTCTGAGTGATCTTTTAGTTTTAGTTTTCCTGTTTCGGTGTCACCAGTCTCGGGTTTTATACTGTCGTTATTTTTTTTTTTTTTTTTTTTTTTTTTAGGTTTAAGGGGTTTTAAGCCTTCAGCTGTGACGCCAGACTTGCTGGATTTGTGTTTGTATTTGTTTTATGGTAAGGCCTTCAACCAGGCTCTCCACTCTGGAAGTCTTTTCTTTTAGTTTTTGCATACGATAGACTTAGTAATTTTAGGTGCCTTTAGCACATTCTTTTACTTTTTGTATTTTTCTTAGATTAATTTGTAATAGTATTTTACTCTACGGTTAGGCTGAACGTCAGAAAGTGGTATTCATACTGGAACTCCCATATTAATTATTCTATTTTCCCCAACGCTACCACTTAAGGGGATTGAATTGACAGGGGTTAACCAGGTCTATTTGCGCCTGTATCCCCCGCCAGCATCAAGGGTAGAATTCTAAAAAGAGTGACTTGATGAACTGGGACGGGATCCCTGGGTTTGACAAATCACACTACAGCATTATCGATGATGCTGTTTCTTTCATATATTTCTAAATATTACTTTGATTATAGATATTGTGAATATTGCTTTAATTATAGCCATCAATACACTAATCGTTTTATTTTATTATTCTACTATTGTCGCTATGCTTACCATAATGCTCGAAGCTTTTGTTATGCTGTTATCTTTATTCTACTTTTGTTATTGTTATCATAGTGTTTGTTATCATCATCATTATTATCCTTATTACTATTATTAATATTATTAGTAGTAGTATTATTACTATTATTAATATCATTATTCTTATCATTATTACTATTATTATCATTATTCTTATCATTATTACTATCATTAATACCATTATTACTATCATTATTACTATTATTAACATCATTATTATTATCTTTATTACTACTATTAATATCAATATTATTATCATATCATTATTACTATTATTGATATCATTATTACTATTATTACTATTACAAATTTTATGATCATCGTTATCATTACTGTTATCACCATTATCATTATTATGAGTTATTGTTATTATTATGATCATCCTCATAGATTTTATCATCATCATTATCATTATCGACATCATAATTTATTGTTATTACCAGCCACTGACATTGCTTTCACAACTCATCGTCTCCATTCATCATCTTAATTCATTCATCGCCGCCGTACTAACCTCCAACAGCTGTTTGGACAGAGCCGATGATAATGGGCGTGGTCAAGCCGCCCACGACGCTGACGGCGAGCACACCACATACAGCGACCACAACGCCCACGGAAATACTACACACGGAGGCGATCTGTAGAGTGGGCGGAGTGGGAGTGGAGAGATGTAAGAATGGAATGACGGAAAGAGAGGTATGCTATAAGAAATCCCTTCTCCTTTCATCTTAAATGCTTGTCAGAATTTACAGATAAATATATTCTTACATACACAAGTGTGTGTGTGTCTGTGTTTCTCTATGTGTGTTTGTGTGTGTGTGGGAGGTGTGGTACGTGTGGCTGTGTGTGTATGTATATATATATATATATATATATATATATATATATATATATATATATATATATATATATATATATGTCTATGTGTGTCTCTGTATGTGTTTGTGTGTGTTTTGGGGGTATGTCTATATGTCTCTGTGTGTGTTTGTGTGTGTGTGGGGTGGGGGGTATGTCTATGTGTGTTTGTGTGTGTGTGAGGTGTGGTATGTTTATGTGTGTCTCTGTGTGTCTTTGTGTGTGTGGTATGTCTATGTGTGTCTCTGTGTGTGTTTGTGTGTGTGTGGAGTGTGGTACGTGTGACTAGGCCTATACATCACATATTTCCTAACATCTCCCACCGACACAAACCCACCTTAAGCAGGCCTATCAGAGCGCTTTTAACCTCCTCCTCACTCGGTGGACCCATGACGCTTGCACACTGCGGCCCCGGATGCGATTCAAGTGAGCGACTGCTATCTTGGACACACACTA